AATAGATTATAAGATCCCAAAAGAACTGCAAACACACGCAGCTATTTTACCTTTGATACAGTGTCCAAACATGTACACTGGAAAAAGAGAGCCTCTTTAATAAATGATGCTGAAAAAACTGGCTTTCTACATGCATAAGGCTAAAACTAGACCCATTCCTATCACCATGCACAAAGCTACAGTCAAAATGGATCAAAGATTTAAATATTTCAATGAAAACACTACATGGTTGGGAGGGAAATACAGGTAGAAATTTTAAGGACATAGGGATAGTTCGTGAACAAAGCAAAATTGCATGTGAAATACTTCAAAGAATCAGGAACTGGGATCTCCTCTTTTTGATGTTTCTTTGCTTCAAAGCAAATCTCCAACAGGAAAGAAGAAAACCTGCAAACTGAGAAAATTATAGCTGATTGTCCTTCCAACAAAGGCCTTCTATATAGAACATACAAAGAATTGTTAAGGGGACAACCAAATAGCTCAGCAGATTAAAGTGCCTGCTTAGGCAGATGCAGCAGCCAGGGTTCAATCCCTAGCATGCCACACCAGACCACACTCTGCAGTGCACTGAGAGAGCAACTGAGATGGTGTAGTAGCATGCCAGTGTAATTCCAGCTCTTGGGAGACTGAACACGGGAATATCACTATGAGTTCAATCCATATAGTGAGACCTTGTATACCCTGTAGAACCTGTACTAAAATACAAAAAAAAAAAAAAAGAAAAAGAATTTTTAAAAATCAGGCCCCCCAAATTCAAAGACCCAATCCACAAATGGGTATCTGAGATAAATATACATTTCTCAGAAGAACAAATACAAGCAGTAAGTAAATATATGAAAAAAAAAATGTTCAGCATCTTTAGTCATTCAAGAAATGCAAATTTCTTGATGTCCAACCAATAGTGACTCCATCTCAACCCAGAAAGAATGGCTAGCATCAAGAAGTCAGCAAGACACTGACAAAGGATCTACAAACTGTGGTACAGGGTTTCAGGATAAATCCTGAGGGGATTTGACTGACCTTGTAAGAAACAAAAGTTACATTTCTTGTTACATAAGTCTTGCTTTATATTGTCTTAACCATCCAGCAGAAAAGTATAAAAATTAAAGCCATATTAATATGCTGAGCTGTAAAGGGCTCAAGTCAATGGCTTCTGACATTGCCAGTCCTATGGAAAACCCACTACTGGAGGATTTTCTGCCGAGTTCCGGGAGCCCCCAGACCCAGTCCTAGCCCAGGTCCGGTGAGTGTGCGGAGAGTTTCCTGCTACCCTGCGCTGGC